TCGCTCTCGTCCCCGCTCCCGTCCCCGCCTCCCGTCTCCCGCTCCGTCGCCCGCTCCCGTACCCCGCTCCCCGTCCCCGCTCCCGTCCCCGCTCCCGTCCCGCTCCCCGTCCCCGCCTCCCGTCTTCCGCTCCCTCCCCGCTTCCCGCTCATCCGCTCCCGTCTACCGCCCCGTCCCCCGCCTCCCGTCCCGCTCCCGTCTCCGCTCCCGTCTCCGCTCCCGTCTCCGCTCCCCGTCCTCGCTCCTGTCTCCGCTCCCGTCTCCGCTCCCCGTCCCCGCTCCCGTCTCCGCTCCGTCTTCCGCTTCCCGTCCCCGCTCCCGTCCCCGCTCCCGCTCCCCGCTCCCGTCTCTGCCTCCCGTCTCCGCTCCCGTCTCCGCTCCCGTCTCCGCTCCCGTCTCCCGCTCCCGTCCCCGCTCCCGTCCCCGCTCCCCGTCCCCGCTCCCGTCCCCGCCTCCCGTCCCCGCCTCCCGGTCCCCGCCCCGTTCCCCGGCTCCCGTCCGCCGCTTCCCGTCCTCGCTCCCGTCGTTCGCTCCCGTCTCTCGCTCCCGCCTCCGCTCCCGTCTTCCCGCTCCCTGTCGTCCACTCCCGTCCCCGCTCCCGTCCTCCGCTCCCGTCTCGCTCCGCGTCCCCGCTCCCGTCCCCGCTCCCGTCACTCTCCCGTCTCCACAGCCTCTACCCGCCAACGCCATTCACAATTTACCCTCTTCGACTCAGCCAACCTCCACCTCATTCCGCCGTTTTCTGCAGCCTCTTCCTCACCTCCCTTCTCGGATCCTCTTAATTCCTCATTCTTCTCCTCCGCCCATTTTCAATCCCCACTTTTTTCCCGTTTTTATTCAACCTTTGGCCGACCTCCACGACCTCTGACCGTTGTGTGCCCCACGTACCTCCAGTAAGCCCCTCACTTCCACCGTCACCGCCCCAACTCATCCCATCACAACCCACCACAGCGGGCAACATTCACGTCCGCCCACTCCTCCACCACCAGCGCGACCGTCACGCCACGCGACAGACGTATTGTCAAAACGTTTAAAACGTTTCGCGACGAACACAAACACGCCGTTATTTCAGAGCGACGCGGCAGCCGTGACCGGAATGATTGGCACGCGCCACGCACGACCACGCCGCCTGACGAAATGGCGCCTATTTATTTGGACGCTGTCATAAAGAGATGACCACACTTATTGTGTGTTTCTATTTTTCCCCGTTGGTATTAATTTTGAATGGAAATTGCCAGATAGATTGCATAGCTTTTCATCGCTTCTGCAATATTTGGCCCACAGAATTCCATCACAGCGAGAATAAAAACCGCGTCGCTCGAACACACGGGTCATTCGCCAAATGCGAAATATAAAGAGTGGGTCATTCGCATATTGATTTACATCGAAGTAGGTTTCTCCGATTTAATATTTGTAATATGCGTCCTATTTTTTATTAATACAATATAATTTTGACAGAAGATATAATTTTATTGACACAATATTAATTTTGATAGAAGTATTATTGAATTCTTAATTGTTTTGGAAATAAAAACGAGAGTATTGTCTTAATAAATTTGACTAACGCATAATATGACATTACATTAAGATTTACTCTAATGGGGTATTTATTGTAAATATAAATATTATATTTTTCAAAAAAAAAAATTCCACCACATAACTACTCGATTATTCTAAGGCTTTTCTATTAAGTGGTCAAAAAGGAATGAGAAGGATAAAGGATAAATTACCGACATCCAAAGATGAACGCAAGCAAATTTTATTATTCGTAATATCATGACATTGAAAGCTGAAGGAGGCGGAGAAACCATGATAAAAAAATGATGATTATGCAGCAATTATTTATATCCTAAGTTTATTATGAAAGTTGACGAAGGTTTCTAAATTTGTTCTTCCTATTACAACAGCACCGAACAAGAAAACGTATTCAGAAATACTCAGTGTATTTATCTTTCGATCACGTTCTGCATGCGGAAGCATTTACAAGTGTAGAACTTCCCAAAAGCAGCGAACAATCAAAAAGAATATTGGAATTCCACAACACGAGCTTCAATAAATTTCCAAGTTCCAGCCCAATGGAACCTCTGTGTTTTAGTCTTTCTTCCCACAAGCACTAACTACGGGATCGCGCCATCACCCCGCAGACTATGCATTATTATTTCCGAGAAAGCCAAGGTCCAACTTTCCTTTGGAATTCCCGGCGTTCCCAGCCCGTCCCGTCCCCACTTCTCAACCCCGCCCCCGCCCCTCATCACGCCCCGCGCGATCAACCCCCGTCCACGCCTCAACCTCTGCCCCGTGTCTCAACTCCGCCTCACGCCTCAACCCCGACCCTGCCGCTTCAACGCGCCGTTCCACGCGCTTCAACCCCCCATCGGCCCATGCCTCCAACCCTCGCTCGCGCCTCAACTCCCGGTCACGCGCTCAACCCCCATCCACGCCTCAACACTCACCACGCCTCAACCACCCGCTCCGCCCCACCTACCCTCTCGTTCCACCTTTATCCCATGCTGTAGCCCACGCCCTTCCTCGACCCGTTCCACAAACCGCCCCACGCTTCTACCTCATCCAACGACCCTACACACGCCACGTTCACGCTCTTGCCCCCAAATCCGCGCCCCGCCCTCGGCCACGCCCGTCCGCTCTGCTCACTCTTAGGCATTAGTAACAGGCGAAAATACAGTACCAATTAATATTTTCTTTTTAATATGCCAAAAGTTGAACCGCGTTCTTAAAAAATAAATTGAGAAATTTTTTGTTTCCCCCACAAGTAGCTAACACATTTAACTCCTTAAGAAGCGCAAATCAAATTTTTTTACATTCTTAATCAGTTGTTAAAATGACTTCAGAAATGAGATTCAAAAGCAGCCAAGGAAACGTTGTATTAAGAATGTGGTGAAAAGAA